AAAGAGAAATTCAGACATATAAACCGTGTACTCAATCTGGTCAAGCATGGAGCCCAGTTCACAGCAAGCTTTAAGAAATAAAAGGAAGGGTTTAGCAGAAAACATCATTATCTGGCTATCCCCAAAGCTTTAACCTTTCTATTGTTAATTAAGATCCTAAGCTAGAAAGGAAGAAAGCATTGAGCTATTTATTTGATGTTGAGCCTTGCTCCATCAAATAAACCATTTGAACTAAAGCAACGCTCTCTTTTTGTACCATTCTAGGCTTCTAGCTGTCAGACTCCGTGTAGCTCACAAATTTGCACAGACAAAAAAAATGCGTAGAAGACACTGTGGTTTCTTGGGACTTTATTGACGAGCCAAGTCATGGAAAGCTTTGCATCTTGCAGCCGTGGAGCCAGATCACTTGTATATTTGACCACTAGAGGTGGATGCAAGACAGGCACGGGAGGGATGGGCACTTTCTGCCTTGCTTGGCTTCTAAGTGATGTCCACGTTGGAAATGACGTGTAACATCGTCAACGTAGGCCCCCATTGTACAAATCGAGGGTCCCACGCAATGAACGAATCATTTGGCTTACATCTTACGCTACCTTAAAGCCAATCTTTTTGGCGCATCACACACATCCCTCTCATTTCTTAACGTTCTTGACTTGAGATGCTAACCATGGTTAGCTTAATATAGTGTCCCAAAACTTAAAAAAATATTTTCATTCTCATATTTCATTCAATGGAGGAAGAAGGTGGATTCTTGCGGAGACCCCTAGTTTTTACTGGAATGTTTACCACGATTCTCTTTTCTAATGAATCAATACACATGCGGTGATAATCTAGTATTTGTAGGCCAAGCCGAAGTGATAAGTTGTGACATATCTAACGCCTACCGAGCTGCCAAACCTGTATTAAATGGGCTCAATTTCTAGATCTAGCGAGCTAGAACATTTATTATTTTTAGATTTAATTAAACACTAAGTCTAAATATATTTAAATATGATAAGCTATTTAACCCATCATTTATTTAAAATTACAATAGATATTCATGTTTATAATATCTAAGCAAAATATAGATGAAAGGGTCTAGATGTATTAGAAATGAGATAGAAATTGAATTAAAATTGAAAAATCATTGAGCATTACTTTATAGAATTGTATCAATGAATAAAAGTTTATGGGTTGGAGATAAAATTACTCAAATAACCTATAATTGCAATAAAATAAAAAATTATTTTCTTGATCTCTTGAAATATTCTATAACATGCAGTAACTATAACCTAGCATGTAATCTTATATGCTTGTACAAGTAATTATTATCTTAATTGGTAATATAGGTTATCGAATACAAATGATCAATGCTTTATTACTAATTAAGATTTCAGTTGTGCAAATAATTATTATCTATAATATATTAATAAAATAGTAACAAAGCATAATAATCAAGGTGATATTTTCTTATGATAAACTCTTAATTACTAAATAAGATCCTGGTTTTAGTATATAAGGTCAAGAATTATATATGTAAACTATGGTTTCTTTAACTATACTTAGATCGTAGGCATGCGTGAGAAACTCAAATTGGCCATTCACAAAACTCTAGAATCCAATTCCATTTCCATCCCCTTATAAATTCCGCGTGGATGCATAGGTCGCCGCAATTGACTATTCTTTGTCCATTTCTCACTTTGAGGTATTTGGAATAATTACAGAAATTATTAAAAAAAACATTATTTAAAAACATATTAAAATAATATTTTAAATTTATTTTTTAATATTATCACATTAAAATAATATAAAATATAATTAAATAATATAAAACATTTTTTTTAAAATAAATAAAATAATAGTTAAATGATATCTTTATCACTTGATTATCACGCCCCGCACCCCCCCAAACACCAAATTACCAAGCTTTAACCATGGTTGGTTTCTATATCTAAAATCAAAGAAATAATCATGCTTAAGTTATTATAATTACTAATGTTTCAAAGCATGGGTAACACAAAAAAATCAACTTTAGCAGGCGCTACCCAATCAAACTAATGTAATTATTAATCTATTGGGTCAAATGTAATTATCATAATCTAACAATGGATTTATAATAATGACCATTCTAAATTAGATACCCCATTTGATGTAATGTGTTGGTTTGGATAAGAATGATGCATTTAACTTTCCACAAAGTTACATCAGAGTTTAATTATGTATTTCTCTTTTCTTCATCATAATCTTCTTCTTTTTTATTGATGTTATTTTTATAATATATATTATTTTATGGGTATTAATTTAATCTATTTAGTAATAAATATTTGATTTGATTTTAGAAAAATAATTATCATCCACACCTCTTTTTTTTAATTTGAGATCATACATGATATAATAATCCCGAGAAAGAAAATTGATTTATACTAAAAGTATTACTAGCATCATGTTATGTGCAGCCAACATATGTATCTATTGCAATTATTAGGAAATTAGTTATTGGTGATTAAATGCCGAAAAAATCAGACAATTCCAATTTTTTACTATTTAAGTATATGATTTGAAAAAAAAAAATCTTTTTTCCCTCATAGAACTAGTTGGCAACTAGATTTGGATTTACACTTCGCTGCTGGACGAGTCAAAATCCAATAACCACATTAAAAAAAATGTGACCATTTGACTAGTGTATCATATCAATTTAATTAATTAAAATATATGATAATAAAAAAATAAAAAAATTAGCAAGACTTGATTGAACTAATGGGCAAAGAGTAAATTCATCGTCATGTTTAAGTGGTGACCCATTTAAATATATATTTACATCACTATTGTTTTAACCTCTAACTTAAATGTGAAATAATAAACCATAAAAAAAATTATAAAATATAAAAATTTATGAAGTGAAATGAAATGATAGTGATATATTGTATTAATCCGAGTTAATTCATAAAATTAATTATCTAGACAATAAACACGATCACAATAAATTAACTAATTAAACAATTTAATTTATTTATTTTCTCTTCCTTATTCTGCTTTCCGTTGAACCTTGATTGAGTATCAATTAACCTCAAGTTATATTAAAAAACGAAGACCAAACTTAAAAAATAAATAAATGTTGAAAAATAAAATAAAAAAAATTTAGTTTTTTTTAAAAAAAAACCAAGTAAACTTGAACAAATTCTCTAAATCTAGGTTAATCTTTTAAACCTATAATCTGTGAAACTTCAAATCTAAGTTCAATCAAGAAGTTCTATTCCTAACCAATATCAAATGATGAAATTATAAAAAAATATATTAATTAAAAAAGTTATGATAACTAAATGAATTGCAATTATAAAAATTAACTTAAAATAAAAAAAATAACAATAAAAAAATAAAAAAAATATAATAGATAAAAATTTAAAAATAATGAAATAGATTTTTTTTTTAATTTTATAAATCATAAAAAATATAATAATTAAAAGAATATGAACTAAATCTAAAAAAAACAAATTAAAAAAGTAAAGTATTAAAATGAAGGCTACACACCTACACTCTCTTACTTTAAAAATCTAGGATGATCATGTTGAAATTAAGGCAGTGTTTGGGGATGCGGTTGAAACTGCGTTCCTAAAAGATTTAAATTTTTTTTATTTTTTATTTTTATTAAAATTTAATATGATTTGTACGTTTTGGATCGTTTTGATGTGCTGATGTTAAAAATAATTTTTAAAAAATAAAAAAAATCATTGACATGCATTTCGGTACAAAAAATTATTTGAAAAGCAACCGCTACCACACTGCTAAACACACTCTAAAGTGAAGAGATAAAAAAATAAAAATGAGATCAACTATTATTAAATTAAAGATAATTTCACTACACGTGTTGCTTTATATAGTGGGCTGCTAAGATGATTTTAACTATATAAAAATTATTAATTATTAATATTTATAAGATATCATATGTGTTACCAGGTAAAATACATGTCACTAAATATGTGTAAAAAATAAAATAGCTTATAAAAATTAGTTTTTTATTTTTTCCTTGTTAAGAGTATTTTTATTATTTTACTATGCTAATTGTAATAAAAAATCTAAATAACATTTCTTTTTTCATTTATTTATTTGAAGCACAGTATTGTTATCTAGCTGTAAAAAAAATATAAAAAAAACCTTATTTTTTTGTTAGGATGACAAAATCATAATTTTATTGTCACTATCCATAATGCATGTGACTTTACAGCTATATTATTTTAGCACTATTCAAATCTAGCTCCCGTTTTAGTTTTTTCTCTTCATAGTAGCTACATATTTTTTTTTTGAAATTCATTTTTTTAATTATTACAATATTTAAATATAATTAATTTACAAATTTAATACATTAACAAGTATTTTAAGTATATTTATATATAAAAAAAAGTTTGATGTGAAAGGATCTAGATAAGTAAGCATATATATATATATATATATATATATATATATAAACCTCTTGGAACTTGATCATTAATAAAACATTAATTTCGCAATATCAAAATGTTCATTTCTGGCCACGATTTTCTTATTTTCGTGTTAGGATCCAAACACATGCGCACAATTCTTTTTATATTATAAATTTGACGTGGCAGAGCAGAGGGTGCTGCAACAATAGTGAGGACACAACCCCCATGAACCTCCACAAAAGCAAGATAACCGATGAGCCCATTATCTTTCAACTAAATTCTTATCAAATCCAAGGCAAACACGTGTAAGGCCAACGCTCATTCATAAGCACCTGCCAATCTCTAAGTTTCAACATTTATCTACGCGTCCTTCATCCATTGGACATTCTACATCGACATGAGGTATTTGGAGGTTGACGACTAACGTTGTGACTTGTGCAATAAAAAAACACAAAAAATAAAGAATCGATAAAAGAGTGGTTAGAATTTAGAAATTTATTAGAAAACCAAAGGTGAAACCATGGGCTGGAGGGCTATATAAGCAGAGATAGGGAGAGGTCATGAAATGCAAAGAGTGTAAACACACTTATATAAGCAGAGATAGGGAGAGGTCATGATATGCAAAGAGTGTAAACACACAGAGTGAGGCCACAAAGAAAGGAGTGCTAAGATCTTGATTTTTTCAGCAGTTTCTTATACATATACATATAAAAATCATCTTTTATCTTCTTCAATTCAATCCCCCCCTCTAATACCCCGCTTCCCTGTGTACCCCTTTCTGTCAATCGTCTGTCTTTCAAAGAAAATCTAATTCGGGGCTTGCTTCTTCTGTTTTGGTGATTTTAAAGCTGAAATCTTTGTTTTAGAAAAGAAAACAAGCAAACCCTTGAAAAGGGTGAAAGCCAGGTGATTCAGAATAGAGATCCAGGTTGATTTTCTTTGTCCTCTGTTTCTTAGCTTTTTCTAATTTCATCAACTTGAAGGGTTTGTTTTTGGTCCCTCAAGGTTGGTTTTTTGTGCAAAAGAAACCTCTTCTATTATCTGGGTTTTTTTTCTTTTGTTTACAACACTAGGTAATTTTGCCAGCTCTTTAGTTTTGTTTCAAGTACTAATTAACAGGTATGGCAGCAGCTATAGATATCTACAACACGACAGCACGAGTTTTTTCAGATCCTTGTAGAGGAGAACTCATGGAAGCACTTGAACCTTTTATGAAAAGTGCTTCACCATCACCAGCTTCTACTTCTTATTCTTCACAGTCTCCTTCAACTTCTTCTTATTCTTTCTCTTCTTATCCTTCTTGCTATCACAACAATAGCTTCCCAGTCACTTCACATCCCAAGTTGGACCTTAACTTTTACACTCCGACGAGCACCCAGATGTTTTCTAATGGGTTCTCGGGTTATAACCAAATGGGTTTTGAGCAAACAGGTCCAATTGGGCTTAACCACCTTACCCCTTCACAAATCCTTCAAATCCAAGCCAAAATCCACCTCCAACAGCAGCAGCAGCAGATGGCAAATCATGCTCCCACATCACAGTTAGTCCATAACCAAAGGACTAGCAATTTCTTGGCTCCAAAACCTGTCCCTATGAAACAACAATCTGCTTCTTCTCCTCCAAAGCCAACAAAGCTTTATAGGGGAGTGAGGCAGAGACATTGGGGAAAATGGGTTGCTGAGATTAGACTTCCAAAGAACAGAACAAGACTCTGGCTTGGCACTTTTGACACAGCTGAGGAGGCAGCTTTGGCTTATGATAAGGCTGCTTATAAGCTGAGAGGAGAATTTGCCAGGCTCAACTTTCCACATCTTCGTCACCAAGGAGCTCATGTGTCTGGTGAATTTGGTGACTACAAGCCTCTCCATTCCTCTGTTGATGCGAAGTTGCAAGCAATTTGTCAGAGCCTGGGTTTGCAAAAACAGGGGGAAACAGGGGAACCCTGTTCTGTTTCTGATTCAAAGAAGACCGTTTCAGCTCCTTTGCAGGTGAAAATTGAAGATGATTGTTCTTTGCAAGGAGAATTGAAAAGGGAGTTTGAGAATCTCGGAGATGAGGAATTTAAAGTGGAGATCCCATCACCCTCACGAGCTCTATCTGATGAGTCATTGGCTGGTTCTTCTTCACCAGAATCTGAGATTTCTTTCTTTTTCTCTGATTCTTTACAATGGAACGGGTTTGAGAATTTTGGTTTGGAGAAGTATCCTTCAGTTGAGATTGACTGGTCATCTATCTAAGTTCTAAATTATTATTATGTAATCTTTGTTTCCTTTTTTCTTTCTCTTTTCTAGGTGTCTTTCAGTAGCTTCTGCAATGAATTTTTTTAGCATTTGCAGAAGTGCTGCTAGTGGGGGAGTCGGTCAGTTTTAGGAGTTTTTATTTATCATGCTGTTAATATGTAAGAGTAGGGTCGTCTCTTTCTATCCCTGGCCTAGCTGGTACTTTTTTTCCTTGCTTGGCCATGGAGGAGTTTCTGTCTGGTTCGTGTTTTTAGGTCAGTCAGTGTAATTAAGCACCTGTCTTTGAATATATCAATCCAACTTTGTATTCTGTAAAAATATGATGGCCATGTGATGATGTTTTGGTTTAACTTTGTGGTTCTCAAATGTTTTTATGCAAATCCTTTTTCCTTTCAACAGATTCACATGGTACGTGTAGATGGTAATGTTTGGATTCTTGCCATCTCTTGGTGAATTTTAAGGGAAGAAATGGTAAATAAAATAGGATTTGAAAGTTCTTAGGAATATTTCATTAAAATTATGCTTTTAGAATAACAATGTTAAGAATATAAATCTTCTGCGAATATTTTTTTTTGAACTAATATTCCTTTTTTCTCATGAGTCTGGGAAATAAAAAGAAATTAAATTTTTTAACAATTTATTTCTTAAATTAGATGAAAATAGTATTTTACATTTACATATGGATTCAATGCTTATTTCTCTACAATTATTTGTATTTTTCTTTTGTTTCAATTATGTTATTTGGTGTTCGATTTGTTGTCTCGGGACAAATGTGTTGCTGTTGAAAGGAAAAAAAAAGAAAACAATAAACAATATTATTTTTGAGATGTCCGTTGTTTTTTTTTTTTTTAAATAATGTTAAGTTTATGTTATAACTTTATAATAAAAAAGGACTATTTTCTAAAAATAATATATTTTGGATAACAACACCATATACTCCATATATTATATTTCTATATATGCAAGATATCTTAAGCCTTCAAAGGACTCACTAAGAAAGCTATTCTCCTTTCAAATAATATAGAGAAAAAAAAATATAACTAAATAAGGAATGAGCATCACAAACTTAGTGAATAAAAAAATAATATATTTTGGATAACAACACCACAAACTTAGTGAATAGATGGAGCATGTCAAAACATACATAAAGCTAAAAATCATTTTATTAGACATACAAAATATTATTTGCAAATCAATTATGCCTTATATCATCCTCATTGTCTAAGAAAGAAATGAAAAACTCTCAAGATTTTTTATTTCAAAATATCATATCTGTTCTAAAACATTATAGTAAATAAAATCTCTCATTTTTTTTTTAAGCACTTAAATGGCTACGCTATAAAACTATAGTCATTAAGTTATAATAAGTTTAAAGAGCTTAATAATACAAACTAATTAACTATAAACTAAAAAAAGCTGGACATTTCACCCAATATAGCATGACTCACATTGTATTGTGAACTACATTATTTATATGAAATATTTTTTTTTGTTTATCAAATTTTATATTTTGTAATTTTCATCATCCAAAGTTATATTAATTTGATTTTTTTTACATTTCTTTGAATTTATATTGTTACATCCTCAATTTGTAGATGCAATTTCTAATTTATTTTCTTTCAATAATTAAAAAAAAGGTAATTTTTTGCATGACAGTATGTTATTAGTGTAATGGTCAACTAGATTAATTCGGCCAATAATGTGATTGATAGACATCTTTTGTAGCTCTTATTTTTTTTAGTGGTTGATCAATCGGTCAATCGATTCCCTAAATGGATTGAGACAATAGTGATTCTAACTGTTTATTTCATTAAATGGTTGACCGAATCAATTGATAAACTATGTTCATTGATCGATTTGAGAAAAATCATATATTTTCAATATTTATTTTTTTAAATGTATTTTCTTTTAAAATTTTAGTAGATTTTTCTTATAAATTCAAAAGATGTCAAGTATTTAATATTATAACATGTAATATGATACTCAAAATTCTTAGACATAGTCTAACCTTTTTGGACCTTATCCTTTTTATTCAACGAAATCAATCACACATTTTTTTCATTCACATCACCCTAATAAAAATGATAATAGAATAGAATTATAAAATTTGAATTATATTAGACTATTATGAACCATCATGTAATTTAGAGAAACAAAATAAATAAAGAAAAAATATATAATAAACTAAAACTTCATAATATTTTTAAACTTTCCACTTCATTAAAAAAATATGAGATTAAATTACATCTTAAATTCTTCCATTTATAATAAAATATGTTACAAAAGATTCCCTTGATATACATAAAAAGGACACTGATTATATCTATTGCACCACTTGATTATGTGAAGGACTTGAAAATTTAAATCATTCATTACAGTAAAAAAATTTAAACAACAACTTGAATAAATTCAAGAACAAATTCATTATTTTTTCAAGTTTATTTTTTTTTACAAATCACATACATATTCTCAAAAGCATATAAAACTTCAATATCCTAGTCATCTATCAAATAGATACCATTAGTTTTAGCTAATTTAATTTATTAGATATCAATTGAACACAAACATCACTAGCCTCAACTAGTTTAATATATTATCTTGGTTACATGAACATAGATGTTACTAGCTTTAGTTAGTCTAAACAAATATTTTGGTCACCTAAACACAGATGCCACTAGCCTAAGCTAGTTTAAACAAATATCATGGTCGTTTGGATACAGATAGTAGTAGCCTTAGCTAATCTAATATACTATTTTAGCCGTCTGAATATAGATTTCATTGGCCTTGGCTAATCTAAAATAACATCCTGGTCATTTGGAAATAGATGTTATTAGTCTCAACTAGTTTAAAACTTTTTTTTTTTTTTTGCATAATTTACATTTACAATAAATGATATACATTTAATGAAATTATAGTCAATAAATCTATATATTCCAAGAAGTGTTGAAGTGTATAACTAGATGCCTATATTCCAAGAAGTGTTGAAGTGTATAACACTTACTATGTGCTCTAACTGCAATCCTCTAATGTTGAATAGATCCTAAGACCTCTCTTGTACCACAAATTTACAACATTATAAATGAAAATAAGAATTTCATTTAAATTTTAAATCATTACGAACAATTCCTTACACAATATTTTTTTATGCAATCATTAAAAAATTTATAAAATATTATATTTTTCATTTTCTTTCTTTTAATGGCCAACACCACAACTTGTTTTAATACCATGATCCATTTTCAATTCTTAATAAAAAAGCTTATCTTACATGAGAAATCAAGCATTATACAGACAATTTTATCTTTATATTCAATACTTTTCCTTAAGAACTCAAATTTGTAACAACATAAAAATTCAATCATTTAATGTAACATAACTAAATTTATTTATAACCATCTTCTACATAATTTTATGCATTAATCTAACACGACTTACTTAAGTAAATACAATTCCATCGTATAATGAATTTCCCCTTCTTGGCCGACTACATAGGTTATATTTGAACCATATAATTTCTTTTTTATGACTTCTTTCTAAATTATCTTCCATTATAATATATTATACCCCAATCTTTATCATCATAACAAATTTAATATTTCACCTAAATTTTTATCATGAATCTTAGATCCAAATTTAGAAATTTGACATCAATTCTTTTCTATTTAAATTAAGTTTATAGAATTAGGTTTAGAGCCCTTTACTTAGTAATAAAATGAATCTTGAACGCTAACCAGTTGAATTTTTTCTACTTTTCTTCTTTTCTTTTTCTTTTTCCTTAGTAATAAAATGAATCTTGAACGCTAACTAGTTGAATTTTTTCTACTTTTCTTCTTTTTTTTTTTTGTTGCTTCTCTCTCTAGTTTCCCTATTATCTTTGAAAAATAGAAATTAGGGTTAGCTTATTAATAAAGATTGACAAAACATGTCTTAGTTAGATTTTGACACAACAAATTTTAATTTCATCCTTAAAGTTTTATTTTCCTTATCATTTGGTCCCTATTATCTTTGCAATTTAGATTTCATTACCAATCCTTTTTTTTATAATTCAATCCTTGGATGTTGAGAGAAGAGAGAGACAGACAACGAGAAACTTTAAAAAGAAAAAAAATGCTCACATAACCACATTTCAGGCATAAAAAATGTGATATTTGTTTCAATAAGCTTGTCATTTTAAGATAAGTTAAATGAAGGTGATGTTTTTCTTATAACTATAATGGAAAAAATAGAACATTCTCATTGCATTGTGGACTGCACTATTCATATGAAAAATACAATTTTTTTTTTGTCATCAAACTTTTAATCTTTGTAAATTAATTTTCCAAGTTATATTAACATCATTTTTTTGTTTACATTTCTTTGAATTTATATTATCTTGCATATGTTGAGTTTTGAGGGGTATTCAAAGATGAGTTAATTTTTGATTTTGTAAAGTTAGATTTTAATTGGGGTTAAAAATAGAAATTAAGATAAGGAGAACCAATTTTGATAAAGAACAACAAAACATGCCCTAGTTAGATTTTGGCACAACAAAACTTTAATTTGATTTCTAAAGTTTTATTTTCCCTAAAGTTACCTTTAAAATAAAAGTAACAACTAGTGTAAAACTTTTGCTGGTGCACGTAACTTTTTTTTTTAACTTAGGAAAATTAGTTTCTGTTTTAATATTTACTTAGTATAACAACTCCTTTTTAATTTTTTAATTTATTTTATAAACCATGAACAATATCTTTTGTTTATCCATTAAAAAAATTATAATACATGAAAATGCACCCACAATGTAGTTGTTTCTTTATTTTATGCAAATTGTACTGGCAACATAGCACGAGTCGAGGGCAAGTTCAATACTATTTGAGATAGGGTATTATAATTATGTAGTCCCAAAAATTCTAGATTTTCCATGACATAAAAAAGAAAGAAAGAAAAAACAGAAGCAGAACAGGCTGGAGAATTGTATGGGAATAAAGAATGACCACCCTTCTCTGAGGCCACTAGAGCATTGAATTAGCCAACTCTCTTTTTTTGTACTTCTATAATTTAGCAACGTTGCTTCACAAAGCGGTCAAGTTTTTGGTTCCAGCTCCCAATAGACTTGCTTTAGGCGCGGTTAAATTCATTTTTTTATTATATATATATATTTTTTTTTTTATTTCAAATTAATTTTTAAAATTTTTAAAATTATTTTAATGAGCTAATATCAAAACTAAATTTTTTTAAAAAATAATATTTTTTTTAATATATTTTTAAACAAAAAATACTTAAAAATATAACTTTTACTAAGCTTTTCTTAAAAAACCTTAATACAAATGGATTGAATAAAG